ATATATATATGCTTGGTTTGAATTTTATGGACTATGATTTAATAACTGGCAGGTGAATACAAAGCCCCTTAGTTAAGCTATATTTTCCCAGGTGCTGGTTTAGTTGCTTTAAAAAGACCCTGTCATGCATGTAAATACTTTAAGACAGCCAAGCAGAAGTAAAATAAAAATTCCCTTTGAATCAATATAGATAGCCTGCAACTGTATGGACATGTCCACATTGTCTTCTTGGCAGCACTATGGAAATATATACTTCTCATCAAACTTCATTAAGACATTAAGTAGAACTGCATAATTTGTACTCACTCCAAAATGCCATAGAATTCCATCTTATGTTTTATTTCTTCTTTGAATGAATAATATAAACCCATATGTTCTTCCTGGAAAGCGGTATGAAGAATTGGTGTATTGACAAAACCAGGACAGATCGCATTTATTCGTACACCATAATTTTTTGCTCTAGCAGCCAGCTGCAAAACAGGAAACTATATTATGTACTATTGTTGAGATATGGTAAGAGACATTCTTTATATGGAAAAAATATCAGGTCCTGTCTCTGGCATCTTTAATTCAAAGGAACATTAAACAAACATGTAGGAAACCATGCTGATCACAGTAGGAAACATCAGAAGAATAAACAATCTTATATATCTTATATAAAATACAAAACAGTTCCTAAATTTATATTGTCTACTGAACTTACAAATACTGTTTCATTCAAGCCAAACATAACCATATTTTTAATCATTTATATTTTTGTACTGTTACTGTATAGGGTTTTAGTCACTCCTGATTCTTTTTGATTCAAAGGACTTCATTCCTATCAGTAACTGTTTTTAAGCTCATATTTCTGTCATCAATGATTATATAGAACCACATAGACTTCTGTGGCCTTTCCCCAATTGCCTTCAATTTTTAGAAGCATAATGTGAATGTAATGTAATTTCCATTCAGCCATGCCTTTACCTTATGCATATAAAATAGGTAAACCTCAGCTTTATTATCCCAGTAAGCAGTCTAGTTTTACTTCATCACTTACTGAAGATTTGTTTTCTTTGTGATCCAGGATAATACAAAAAATTCAAAGGCATCAGTTCTTCTTTTTTCATTCTTACTAAGGATCCATCTTTCACAACCACATATTACAACCAGGAAACCATGACCTTTGTTGTCAGCATGATGTCCTACACTTGTAATATTTTGTTCCGTACTTTCATAACCTTTCTTCTAAGCAATACACATCTCTTTATTTCATAGCTACAGTAATTGCATTTGTAAATGTTTACCCTAGCAAAATAAACACTGTTACAGTTTCTATCTTTTTTTATCTATTTGCAATGGACTATTGCACCAACACTGACTGTTGACATACTATAATCCTACATTTGGTGGGATTCTACTGATCTTTCTGCTTTTGCACTCTGTTTTTTATTGATATGCTCTCTCGCGCTCTTTCTCGCTCTCTTACACACACATACATCACTTGTGAGTTATGTTCCTGCCAAAGGAAAAGCTTGTTCTTAATACTGATTTTATTTTAACAAGAACCTCAGAAAATCTTCAGTTAATCAAATCTGAATTGGGTGTGTGTACATGTGTGTGATTGTATAGGTGTGTTTGTGTGAAGGAAATGGAAACATGGGATTAATCAACAAGAAAGCAAGACTTTTCCCCCCCACTAGTTATACTCACAGCCACTGAACGTGTAAATCCAATTACTCCATGCTTTGAAGCAGAATATACTGGTTGGTATGCAACTGGCCACAGTCCTTTAATGGTAAAAGAAATAATAATCAGGGATTTAAAAAGAATTTTAATGTAATTACTGGGGAAAAAATGAAAAAACTGTAAAACTACACGGTTTCTTTATATTATTGTATGAATTGACAATAGTTAGGGGCTAAAAAGTAGGATTAAAAATTATTCATTTTTGTTAAACGTAGCATTCTTCAGTACTTTGGATTTGATCTCTAAAAAATGTTGGAGCATAAATATGACCCCCATATGCAATATTTTAAAATAGACAGATCTTTTCCAATGCCTTTTGGAGACTGAATCTGAATCTTAAGCTCTACAGCCATTTTGGACTACCACTACTTGCTTATTTTTCCTATATTATTATCATTCAAAAAAGCAATTATGAAGAATGTTTCAAAAATGTATCATTCATGTGAGAAGTAGAAGAGAAACACAGCTCTAATGCTATGATTTTACTTTTATTTCACAAGAATTATTTTTCCAAAATCTCATTTATACTTTAAAGAATGACAGTGTTTTCTGCAAATTGTATATAGATATCTAACTTGAATTGATTAATTGTAAAAAACAGCCCTAAAACATCGATGAATAGAAGAATAGTATTACAATATAAAAGCAATCACATTAATGCTAACTTTGTAGGATGTGAAATCACAGAAGTAGAAAGAAACAGAATAGAAAGATAGGGTAAAGTAATGAAAAAGAAAAATGCTTCCTCTTTACGTAGATTTTCCCTACCATAGCAATTCACACATGTAAAATCCTGGGAAGCATGTTTTGCTGCTTGATCTAGATTCGTATGGACAGTTTTATATGAGGAGCTGTTAGATAAAAGCTTCATGCTTTTCCTTGTAAAATATGTCCTGAATTAGTTTAATCCACTTTATAAGTTTTGATCCTGCTGATATATTCCCCACTGTCCATCATTAGCTAGAAAATCATTGATTCATTGAAAATAAAATGAAAACTGTTTCAAAATACAATAAGGTCAACTTTTCATTAATTAAGCAAAACTGGAGCAAACTTTTTATTTCTAATTATGGGTTTGTAATATATGTATTAGATACAATGAGGAATGTTGTCATTTTTTTTCTCTCTCTCTCTCGGATTTGCTTCTTGGATACATGCAATATAGAAGACAGCTATCCCTTCGTGCCTTTTTCTAATTGTATCTTGCTCTACATTATATTACAATGTGGAAGGCCCTACTCTGAACATTATCTCAAATGGGATTTTGGCCTTAACGGGAAATAAGCCAAATTTGCTATGCTATGCTAAATTCTATGCTAACTTTACTATTGTCCATCTTCTCACAATGGAAAAATCAAAAGAGGTTTACATAAAGAAAGGAAGTCTAACAAAAATGCAAGCGTATGAGGAATCAGGTTAACTTTGCTCATAGTTATTGTCAATATAATTAAAACCTGCTGAATTCAAGGACATCTTGAACAGAAAGAACCTGGACTCTTCATAAAACAAAAGTGACAGGCTGTTCTAGAAACTGATGTCATAATAATGCAGTATGTTTGTTCCAAATGTTCAACTTTCAGTAATATTCTATATCTGATGCTTCTTAATAATCTCATTAATCTGTAATTTCCCTCAAGGTTGTCTAACAGCATATCCTTTTCTTAAAACAATCCAAGATGTCCACAGTACTGGAATCAGGGAGCAAATACCTAATTGTTAGACTGCTCTGGAGGAAAACAAAGACATCTTACAGAGCCTTCAGGCTCAGTACCCGATGATAGTTTTCTTTTCTTTTAAGTCTTTTGAAAAAAATCTGAGTGATAAAGTCCATTCTCTGACTAGAAAAAGGGTTATTATTTTCCAATGTATAAGTAAGTTTTATTGATTAATAATATTTATGAATATTTCCCCCAAACTTTATGATCAGAAGTTCTTTTAAATTCTATTAAGAGCAGACAGGATTCCAGAAAAATCATAATACAACTGATCATTATTTATCATTGTAACAGAATGTTCATCCTAAAACAGAGATGTCTAAACTTGCAACTTTAAGACTGGTAGACTTCAGCATGGCTGGCTGTGGAATTCTGGGGATTGAAGACCCCAAGTCTTAAAGTTGCCAAGTTTGAAGACCCTGTCCTAAAAGAACATTTCTTTGATACGCTTTCTGAATTAAAATAAACAATTTATTCAGTAGATAGATAGATAGATGATAGATAGATAGATAGATAGATAGATAGATAGATAGAGCAGTGTGCAGCCGCTGCCAAAAAAGATAATGCAATCCTAAATTGTATTAAGAGAGGGATACAGTCAAGATCAAGGGAAGTACTAATACTACTCTATAAGGCCTTAGTAAGACCACACCTAGAGTACTGCATCCAGTTTTGGTCACCACATTATAAAAAAGATGTTGAGACGCTAGAAAAAGTACAAAGAGGAATCAGGATGATTAGGGGACTGGAGGTTAAAACATACAATTAACGGCTGCAGGAACTGGGCTTGACTAGTTTATTAAAGGACCAGGGGAGACATGATAGCGGTCTTCCAATATTTGAGGGGCTGCCTTGGGGAGGAAGGGGTCAATCTATTTTCTAAAGCTCCTGTAGGCCAGACAAGGAATAATGGATGGAAACTGAACAAGGAGAGATTTAACCTGGAAACAAGGAGAAATTTTCTGACAGTGAGAACAATCAACCAGCTTGCCCTCGGAACTTGTGGGAGCGCCATCAGTTGAGACTTTCAAGAAGAGATTGGACTGCCATTTGTCAGAAATGGTATAGGATCTCCCGCTTGGGCGGTGGGTTGGACTAGATGACCTACAAGGTCCCCTCCAAATCTGATTATCTGTATCTGTATCAGATTATAGGAAAGGCATTGGTATACAAAAATTTGTGGCTACCTTGTGAAATTTTAATTAGTAATGCACTACAATATATTGACAAAATGATAACTGGCCATCATCAGTCTCCATTGATAAAAATAAAGGACTTCTATGGGACTATTTATTGATAGCATTTTTGTTTTTTCCTAAATAAACTTTATGCTATTTCTGTTCTCTACTATTTAATGGTTATAGAATCATGACTGATGCATGCTGGTTATTACTTTATTTTTGAGGATAACGTATTTAAAACAATGCTGATTAGATTGTCAAACCACTAAAGTACAGAAACTTGAGTATTAACTAGGGAAAAACAAAAGTGATGGTATTTGGTAACAGAAATATTAAGCAAAAATAGATTATTCAAGTTTGATCAATACAGTAATCTTTTCCCTTGAAGATTCTGGATTTTACTTTCTGTAAGTCTTTATCCTAGAAGACACACATTTGGAAATGGCTATTGAACAGTGAATCATCTTAAAAATTATCCTTGAAGAAAGGAGAATTGGAAAAAATAATCCCTGTCCTTTTTTCAGACCAACATTTATTTTTCTTGACTTGTTGATTGTTATTCTCTTCTAAAATTTCTTGACTAAACCATATCCTGTTCACTTCTCTGTTGCTGGTATTATTAGTTTTTTTGTATTTATGTATGGTTTTCCTTTAATAGTATAACTTCCCTTGTTTACTTGAAGTGGAAATAATAATGTTTAATAGTCACACGTTCTCAAGCTTTAAATAATACCTCATTCAAAAGTCAGGAAACATAATGATAAAAAATAAGGTTTTTCAGCTCTCTTTGCACTTCATATCCTAATGCAGAATCTTATTTATATATACTCAAAATAATGTCAGCGACCTCAACATAATTTATTGCAGGTATATGGATATTAATTTGCAAGAGTCTAACTGTATGTCAGGAAGACCAGACAGGAAACATAACCAGGTAAGCTAATTCTACTTTATTGTAAAACTACTGTACATCAATAGAATCTTGCAAGTCTGAAAGTACAATTTTCTTGCTTGCTCGTTTACAGGAGGAGCCCCTTCTGATCACATTTCCCCACCAATTTTGCAACTGTGGGCTATTGCTGTCTCTTATCTGGCTGTTCCATATCCAACTTATCTTACAACCCATCTGCTGAGGTGTTTCACATTACCGTTACAGTCTGTGTGAATATCAGGAAATCTCATCACTCAAATTTGTGCATCATTTGGATAAAAACAAAACCTTTTTATAATAGTATTCTTTTATTAAACTGTGTATTCTGCTCTCACTATCACTATTATAAATTTATGAAACAAAGCATACCTAACAGTTAGACAGCTAGGAGATTTCATAATTTGGATACGGAAATCTATTGACGCTCTGCATAAACCTAGTAATCAGAAAACCATATTTCCTCCCTAAAATCTTTTAATGATTTGAAATGTTCTATTGTGCCATATCTTTAATCCCATAATACTGTAACTTCTTCTTTACAAGCATATTTTCCATAACAATTATCTTTCGATATGCGTAAGTAATCTCTAACAGAAGTCAAGATTCAGAGAAACAAAGAAGGACTAATAAATCAGAAAGAAATGCTTGGCCAAGAGCAAGAAAATGTTATTATTAACTGCTGCAGGAGAAGATAAGAAAATAGAGGCTATCTGAGGAACCACCTCACCCAAATGGGATTGGTTCACCCTACCATGCTGGCATGCTGTGGGGGTTGGTCAGGGAATTTTGGTTGGCGGGGTCCAAGAGAAAAGGTTTTCTGCCAAGCCTCTTGCCCCTTGCAACAGTGTACATCCCTCCCTGCCCCCAAGGTGAGAACCACCCATGTAAGGGTCTGAGAACCTGGTTTGCCAGTTAGTCTCAGGCCCCAACAGCAGTGCAACTCTCTGGAAGTGCCTATTGGTTAAGAAAAGCCTCCTATCTCTTCTAGTGTACTTAGTGCTCTCTTCTCCTCCCCGTCTTTTGACTGTAAATTATCTTTATGATTACGTATTGTTTTATCATTTTAATGCTTATAATTTTTTAATGTTTGTAAGTTTCCCAGAGATGAGATGCCCATAGATGAATGAGCAACACACAGATAACAGATAATCAGAGTTGGAAGGGACCTTGTAGGTCATCTAGTCCAACCCCCCGCCCAAGTGGGAGACCCTACATCATTTCTGACAAATAGCAGTCCAATCTCTTCTTGAAAGTCTCAACTGATGGTGCTCCCACAAGTTCCGAGGGCAAGCTGTTCCATTGGTTGATTGTTCTCTGTCAGAAAGTTTCTCCTTATTTCCAGGTTAAATCTCTCCTTGTTCAGTTTCCATCCATTATTTCTTGTCTGGCCTACAGGCGCTTTAGAAAATAGCTTGACCCCTTCCTCCCTGTGGCAGCCCCTCAAATATTGGAAGATCACTATCATGTCGCCCCTGGTCCTTCTCTTCACTAGACTAGCCAAGCCCAGTTCCTGTAACCATTCATTGTATGTTTTAAGCTCCAGTCCCCTAATCATCCTGGTTGCTCTTCTTTGTACTTTTTCTAGAGTCTCAACATCATTTTTTATAATGTGGTGACCAAAACTGGATGCAGTACTCTAGGTGTGGTCTTATTAAGGCTTTATAGAGTGGTATTAGTACCTCTCTTGATCTTGAGTGTACCCCTCTGTTAATACAACTTAGCACTGCATTAGCTTTTTTGGCTGCTGCTGCACACTGCTGGCTCATATTTAGCTGGTTGTCCACTAAGATCCCTCTCATAGTTATTGCTATTGAGCCCGTTTTCACCTAGTCATATGTGTACTTTTGGTTTTTCTTGCCTATGTGTAGGACTTTACTTTTGTCTACATTGAATTTCATTTTGTTAGATACGGCCCAGTGTTCTAGTCTGTCAAGATACATCTGGATCTTGAGCCTATGTTCTTGGGTGTTTAGCTGTTCCTGCCAGCTTAGTATCATCTGCAAATTTGGTAAGTTCCCTTTCTATTCCCTCATCTAAGTCATTAATGAAGATATTGAAGAGTACTGGGCCTAAGACGGAACCTTATGGCACCCCATTGTTTACTTCCCTCCATGTAGACTTAGACCCACTAAGGACTACTCGTTGAGTAGTTTGTCAGCCAGTTGCGAGTCCACCTAGTGGTGATGCTATCTATTCCACTTTTTTTCTAGCTTACTAAGAAGTAGGTTGTGGTCTACCTTGTCGAATGCCTTGCTGAAATCTAAATATATTATATACACAAATCAAATCAATAAATGTAAAGTTACACAACCTGAAATTCCGGGTATACAGACTAAATAATATTGTTTTTCCATGCTTCATAATTTCACAAATAAGGGCCAGCTACATGCATAATAGCTGGTAATGGAACTTACCAGCCTGCCTAAACTCTATTAGAAAAAGCATCAGAAAAGAGGCTGAATTAGAGCCCCCCCCCCAAATCTTAATTATTGCTGGTTTTAATCAGGGGTGGGATTCAATTTTTTTAACAACTGGTTCTGTGGGTGTGGCTAAGTTGGTGGGCATGGCTTGGTGGTCATGTGACTGGGTGGACATGGCTTGGTGGTCATGTGATTGGCTGGGCGTGGCCAACTCAATATTACTCACATTGAGGCACGCACCTCCTCGCCTGGCCTCTCATGACTGTGGGGATGCTGCAACAGTTGTAAGTGTGAAAAATGGTCATAAGTCATTTTTTTCAGTACCATTGTAACTTTGAATGGTCACTCCACACAAGCAAAGTACCAGCAAAGGAGGGGAAAAAAACTCCAGAGAAGTTCCTGAGACAGGAAGTCTAGTCCTGCCAAGAATGTAATAAGGGTTAATGGAGAGGCAGTTTCTATAAGCAACACCAAAATGTTTCCTTCCTGCCTTCCTTACAGGATTAGGCCAGTAATTTCTAAGAACCGGTTCTCTGAACTGCTTGCGATGTTAACAACCGGTTCTAGCAAATAGGTGAGAACCTGTAGAATCCCACCCCTGGTTTTAATGCTGCCATAGATGCTTACAATGGTTTGGATGTAGATTTTACAATGTTTTTGGGAATTAAATGTGATGGAAAAGCTCATGCCCTTAAAAATATGGTATAAATATATATTTTACCTGCTAATGATGCTGTATTAATAATAACCCCTCCATTTCCACCATTTTCAGTTTTCATGTACTCTAGTCCAATATATGTTCCTCTAATCACTGAAATCTGATGTAGAAAATACAAAAGAGTTATCAGGTATATTTCATTCTTATAGTTGTTTTAAAAAATAATGTTTCACTGTACATCTTGAATAATTTTAAGAATTGTTTTCCAATGCTTATTTTCTCTTTTGTCACCCGCATTTTTTTATATCTGCCAAGTAACTATTGATGAGCTCCACACCTTTCAAAATGCCAAGGCACTTGTAATTATCATGTAGGAGTTTCAAACTTTTTATCAATTTCCCCCATGTTTCCACACTGTGACATGTTGTTTTTTCATTTAAAACAATAGTTTCTTGTAATGAGTAACTAAAATAGTCTTGAAGACTATTATCACTTTTATGCTATGATATTTGTTTCAGTCAAAGCTGAATATTGATCATATGATTGGGGAGATCATACAGAAAAAAATCAACAGATGGAAATGCAGCTAAAATCAAGCATGTATTGAAGAAGTTATTTTGAAATGTTAGTGATTCAACGTATCACACTTTGTATATTATTTTATGATTAATTATTCAATCCATCATACTTTTTATTCCCTCTGCTGACATTCCTGAGCCAGTAGTATAATGACTACTTCTGAACCAGTTTTTTCTTAACAATAGACATGAAAGAACTCTTTGCAGTTAGTCATCAAACAGTATAATATTCTCTCACCAATCATTTTGGATGGATTGGATAATCCTTCTGATGCAATTATAATTTGTCATAATAAATAGCAATAGCAATAATAGGCAGGCAAAAGCATGTATGTATTGGGAGGAGCAGACATATATAAGTCAACTGTCAGCACTGTGTACTTATGAAGATATATATAGATAGATAGATAGATAGATAGATAGATAGATAGATAGATAGATA